TGAGTTTGCCTTCACTCTAGTTCAATTGAATATCCTGCTGGCATTCGCTATTTGGCCAAAGTACTAACGGAGTACGAGCACTTATGGAACGGCACCTCATCATGAATCACCTCCCTTAAGGAGAGAAACTGAAAACAAAATTCATTTTTTTACAGTAGCTCAATGCACCCTTTTATTCAGTTAAATCATCAATTTATGCATATAAAAATGTTTAGCCATCATTTTTTTTAAAAAAAATGCTTCTCAGCAACATTCTTGGTTTTGTCAGTTGCCCATCTAAGTTTAACACTGGTCAACATAATACCGCGCACTATCTTTTGTGTCAAGTGGCACAGAGCCATATGGCAAAATACAGGAGTATCTACTGTAACAATGAAATGATACAACTTTCAATATTGAAATCGGAAAGCTCGAAAAGATCACAATATATAGAAAACAGATGTCGCCTGGGAGCATGTTCAGCGCTGTAACATACTCAGGGTTCAAAATAAACTGTTCAAAAATTTAGCAATGAACAGCTCCCATTGACAGTTTAACACCAAAGATGAGCTTTTGAGGTGCTCTGGCACACAAATGCTATATCTTGGTCGGCCAGGATCAATGTTCTCAATTTAATTCTGAAATGTGCATTTGTACATGTTGATCGATCACAAATCACTCAGCTAGTCCCTACCTATCACGTGGATAGGGTCAGAAGGATTTCACAACTTCTCCACCATCATCCAGCACAAAATCTTTTCATATTCTGCAACATTGACTTTACCAATGCACAGTCAATTAATTACTGTACAGTAGAATTTACACCACAAAGTACACTACAATACACGGTTGTCAGGAATATCATCAATTTTTTTTGCTTCAAACTACTTGAAATCTAATCTCTGTATTTAGCTTAGGAGACTTGTTGCCAGAAATATTTTTTGGCGAGTAGAAGTGGACTTGTTTAACTATATTGACTTAATGAACTGCAAAATAAGTTGTAAATAAAGCAGAAACATCTTCTATGCTGTGCATTATATTTCCCATGAGGCTGAATTTAAGTATGAATAAACAAGTGATTTGAAGAAGGGAAAATGGAAGATAAATTGCAATTCTGAGCAAAATTAGAATGTAAAAGTTGCTTTCATCCACTTCTACCTCATATTCTCAGATTCCTAAACTGTTGGCGTGGGGAAGCTTGGGTCAGACATTCCTCGAAAGCCACTAAAATGTGGTGGAATTCTGCTAAGTGGTCATTTATAGCATCTAAGAATCTAAGTTTATGAATAGTTGAAAATGATTCGAAAATATTACAAACAGGGTTTTAAATCTGTGAACATTGGTTAATACCTTCACACAGAAAGTCTTCAGTCACTCTGAAAACTATAACAACTCACATTTCAAATATTTCTAGAAATAATCTATACTGTAAAAGTTTTGTTTCCTCCTAATTCCACGTGTACACCTGTTGGTATCCAATTAATAAAGGAACCAAAGAGTTCTTGAAAGGAATTCAGTTAACTAGTTTCTAATTTTTCAAATGCTAATCTTATTAAATTACAAAATCCATCGTAATAATATGCTGCAACTTTTTTTTTAATTATCTGAAATGAGTTTGCTGCTTTTAATTCAAATCTGGGTAACCAATGGCTAAGGCAGGTTTGCTTCAGCAATTTTTCATACAGACACTCACAGAGCCAGTTTCTGGTTTTGCTTTGGTTGTCAACAGAGGCACAAGTTGAGTCTAAATGATTTTTCACAGGTAGGGAAAGAAAAATCAAGAGGCAAGTCAAATCAACAAAAGCTGAATGTGGGAAATGGAAAATAGAATTCACTCTGGTGCAGAAGGGAGATTGGGATTTGGGTGTATTGCTGCGTCAAAGTTGAGTAAATGTTTTGTACAGCATATCGTCCTAGTTATACTCTGTCTAATAGCATTAATGCTGCCTTAGATACCAAAAGCAAGAAGTGTTTAATTTTCCAGCAGACCAAACATACATAAATATTAAAAAGGTGCAGACAACAAGGTTGCTCTGATAAAGCCAATATTCTCAGGCTTTGAACCAACAAAATGCTGAAGTTGTTACCACAGCAAGTGAGATTGTGGCTGAAGATAAAGGACTAGAAATTAAAACCATTCAACTGAAAAGCACGATCATGAAAACAGAAATATGTCAGAACGGAGCTTTGAAGGTTAGTTTAGACTTTCAAGCCCATCGACATTTCTCAGGTCAGTTGTTCAATAGCTCGCCCCCAAGTTAAAATGTTACTAGATGACTCATGAGTGAATCCTGGCAGAATAATGGTATATCTTCACTCAGTGGACAGAACAGCTTACTTTAATGAATGATGACAAAAATGAATTATTAGAAAGGTGCAAAAACAAGCTTACAAATATAGTAGTGATCAAGCATTAGGGTTTGCTACCGAGGGCTAGAAAAATCTTTAAGCTCTGTTTACAGTAGCTGTCGCCAGGTTAAGCAAAATTAACATGCAGAGTAAAAGCACCAATTTGAAATTTGAAGTGCAACTGTACAGAAGTGCTCAATTGTGCAGCATGAAAGAACTAATTGAAAAGGTTAGAAGAACAGCATTAAAAGGTGTGGTACATTTCTACAATGCATAGGTTAACAGTCAGGTCACAACAAATAATTAATTACTAGAATACTTTCAGCTACTCTGACAGCAAATTTAACAATGTTCAACAAACAAGATTCAAGTTTTAAATACTTGTGTGCAAATTTAAAGAGCAAGAACTGTAGATTAGTCCTGATACAGTATGCTTTCCTCCACCAAGTCTCCCTTTGAATAAAATATTAACACACTTGAGCTGCTGATAAAGAATAGAAACAGACTTATCAAGTCACAGGTACTGTGCTGTGTGTGAGTCATCCAATATGATGTTACTGCCAGGCATAATTCATGTTCACAGCCCTTTTAAGCACCTCAGTAGAAAATTTCACAAATAGAAACACACTAATGAAGCTGATTGGCTTTAAATATTCGATTCAGAACAACATTGACAATGCAAAGTCAGTTCACAAGTCTCAGTTTTATATAAAAAGCAGCCCCCCTGTGTCTTTAGCAGTCAGCAGTGAAAGACAAATAGGAAAGCAGAGATTTAAACTCATGAATGAGTCAGAAACACAATGAATGTTAATAGTTATGCTTGTTCGTATTTTGAATAATTGTTTAGTTATAATGTCCTACACATATCATAGCTTGGCTGCTCAATATTCACTTACCTAGAATACCTTAACAAAAACAGTAGGGTTGATCTTATGAATATTAATAAGAGCTCTGGGGTTTATCTAATGTCACCTGCTTTCAGTAGCAAAGCTTGAGAGTTAAGTAACATGCAATCATCAAATATGTATAATGTTTTATTCTGCATACATAATGGGCTTATTTGATTAAGATATTATTCCCAATTTACTTTTATAAAATTATGTGCACTTCATTTTAACTACAAATGAGGGCACACTGAAATGTGCCCTCAAATGAGGGCACACAGGCATAACCAAAAAAATATGCACACACTTGGCATCAAATTAAAAATATCTTAAATGGCATAAATTGTACAGTATAGTCTACATCCCCCAACACATCATCCGACTCCCACCTAGACTCACTCCAGTTCAATTATTTTAAAGGTATTTTTGCTTTTTAGACTCAAAATCAATAATGGAAATTAGTGATATTACATCACATTTCCAGCATAAAAATTAGATTAATAGTCAAATTGTGAAAAGGTGCTTCAAAACAGTTGTACAAGGCACACAATTTTCCTATCCTAAACAATCAAATAAACCTTCACATCACATCAATTTAAATTACTTAATAAGCTTTCAATTCGTACCTGCCAACTTGCACACTCAGCTCAATTCCTCTTCTGATCATTTGATTTGTTCTTATTATAAGGAAGAACTAAGAGCTAGGAGCCACTTCCAATGCTGCAACATTTCAGATTCAGGACACAGATGAGATGTGTGTGTTTCACTATCCTGACTTGTTTTAACCTCCAGATAACTCAAGGGACTACTGCTCTGTAACACTCAGAAAGTCACCCATTATTCTACACATCACGCAAACGTATCAGCCAATTCACGACTACAAGGTAAAAGCCTTCTGCATTCAGCACATTTTCAGTGGTAGAATTCAGTACAGCAACCAAGATCATTGATGCAGTAGAGGTGAGCTTCATGCAACACTTCAAGTACGAACAGTCACCCCCCACACAAAAAAAAGACACAACTGTAAAACAATTTTACACCCATAAAGGAACAACTTATTGTCTAGCAACTCTTTACTGCAGATCATGAACACCAGTACAAATGTGTATGGTGGGGGGGGTAGTATTTTTTAAATTAAAAACAGTGAAAGAACTTCAACAGTTACAACTTAACATTTCTAGCAGAATTTTCTGCCCCTCCATCACATTCACAAAACATCCATTAAAATAAAAATGAAATGCACTTTGACTTGTAATGCATCAAAGCACCATACAGGTATTTATACATAGTGTGTGTGTGTGTATGTGTGTATATATATATCATTCATTACATAATTGTACTATCCTAAAGTGTTACATAACCCACACTTGCACATACATATATTATATGGTTATTATATATAGAATTAAAAACCAATGGAAAGAAAAAACAAGAAACACACAGTTCAACCTACAGAACTAAGGGACAATAAGGTTTAAACAGAATAGGAACATAAAAGGGGGGGAGGGGGGGAAACAGGGGGTGGGGGGGGGGGTGAGAGGAGGTGGATGTGGTGATGGTGGTGGGGGGGGGGGGTTAAAAAAAACCTTAAACTTACATGTAAGAGGGTTGTTTCTGCCCTCGGTGGATGGGAACCAGTCACACTTCTCTCTTCCCCCCTCCTCCCTCCCCCCCCCCGCCAGTTAGGGGGGAGTTTGCCCCCCCTTCCTCCTCCTCAAATTTACCCCCTTTTTTTTTAACGGCACATTGACAAGATTTTCCGCTCTCGCTCTCTCAGCGCCGTCATACCTTTGAACGGTTGAAGAAGTGCCCGGGCGGGCGGGCGCTCGCTTTCTTTTCTTTCTTTCTCTCTCTCTCTCTCTCTCCTTCCCTCCTTCTCTTGGAAGTTATGTTACTCCTCTCCCGGTTAGGTAGGTGAGTGAGTGAGTGAGTGAGGGGAAGGGAGTGAGGGGGGGGAGGAAGGAGAGAGAGAGAGAGGGAGAGGGAGAGATGAATGAAGGGAAGGAAGGAGAGAAGGAAAGAAAGGAGGGCAACCGGGAGACGCCGCCGGGGGCGGCTGCTGGTGCTCCCTCCCGCCCGCCCGCCCGGTGTCGGTGTGTGTCGGGGTCGGTCGGTCCTGTCGGTCGGTCTTTCTCTCTCAGGCTCCGCTTCTTCTCGTCGTCGTCGTCGTCGCCGTGGCCGCCATCTTGCGCCCCCTCGCGCCGCACAACAACATCCCGCCACGTGACCACGCCGGGCCAACCGCCGGCTCTCGCGCTGCCCCTCCCCCTCCCCTCCCCCCCCCCCCCCCCCACCGCGAGCTCCCGGCGCTAAAAATAGCCTCGCGCACAGCGGCGACGGCAGCGGCGGCTCCCGACACCGACACCGACCCCTCAGTGTGGAGCTACGTTTATTTTTTTTAACATTCATTTCATTTCTCTTTCTTTTTTTTTCTCTCTTTTTCTCTCTCTCTCTCTTTTATTGTATTTCTTTCCATTTCTCTCTCTCTCTCTCTCTTTCTCTCTCACACTTTTCTTTCATTTCTTTCCGTCTCTTTTTCTTTTTCTTTCTTTGGATTTGATTTGTTTTTTCTTTCTCTCTTTCTTTCTTTCCATCGCTCTGTTTCTCTTTTTTATTTTAGTTCTTTTTAGTTCTTTCCTTCTCTCTCTCTCTCTCTCTCTCTGCATTATTTTTTTTCTTTTCCTCCCATTTTATGGTTTTTATGTTTCATTTTATCTATAGATGTTTTTAAATTGTTTTTATTGTTGTATTATTATTTATTATTGTTTTCATTTATTATTGTTGTATTGTTTCTTGTTATTGTGTTGTTATTATTGTGTTGTTATTATTTATTATTATGATGTTATTGTTTGTTGTTGTTTATTAGTATTTTGTTTTATTATTATTTGTTATTATTTATTGTTTTTATTTATTATTTTTCATTTGTTCCCATTTTATTAGTTTTCATTTGTTCCCATTTTATTATCTTTCATTTGTTCCCATTTTATCATTTTTCATTCGTTCCCATTTTATTATTTTTTATTATCATTACTTTAATGATTTATTATTATTTTACCATTATTTTAATCATCATTGGTTATTGTTCATTTTTATTATCTGTTACTATTTATTGTTTTTTCATTATTACCATTTATTCTTATTTACGTTTATTGCTATTTATTATTGTTTAGTATTTTTTTTAAATAAATCTGCAGGTGTGTGAATGGGGGAGTTGCATTTATCCATTTCTTTATTTCCTTTCCTCCCTTTGCAATTTCATCCCATTATTTCGCACTCAACAGCACAGGTTTGCATTTGCAAAGCCCGAATGGCAAATTCCTATTTATAGATTTCTTTTTTAAAAAAAAATGCAGCATTTGTTTATTTCCAGCTCTTCCTCTCTCTCCCCTTATTCCCAACCCCAACCCCCCCATTGCTTTCTTTCCTCCCTTCGCAACTCAAAACACACTCTGCAAATCCCAATCCCAGGTTTGCATTTGCAAATGCCCCAAATTGCAAATTCCTATTTATAGATATTATTTTTTTAATAATGCAGGGGAGTGAATGGGAAGCTGCATTCATATATTTTCTGCAATCAACGCTCCAATTTCACTTGCAAAGCTCCATTGCAACCTCCTTGTGTGTGTGTGTGTGTGTGTGTATATATATATAAACACGTACCGTACAATTAAAATGTAGCCTGTGAATGGGAGTTGGACTTAAGGTTTTTGTTTACCCTCCCTATATATAGTTTTATCCCCTCCCACCCTTCGCAAATCAATTCAAGTCGGTTGCATTTAATCTCTCCCTTTTTTTATGCTATTCAAATTCTATTTGAAAAATAGAAAAAAAATAATTTAAAATTGGTCACTTCAATCCACGACTGTTTGTGGGGACTCTACTGTGCGCAATTGGCTGTTGTGTTTCACCCACGAAATATACAGTCAATTCACTTTACAGTGTATTCTGTGAAGTGCTTTGAGACGTCTCGAAGACGTGATGAGGTGCAATATCAAACGCAAGGATTTTTTTAATACATTGTTTGCATTTGCAAACCCGATTGAAGGTGATGGCAAGCTCTTGCTACTGTAGAATAAGATGAGATGCGCTGTGTGAATGGGGAGCTTGTACAGTATTTTTTCACAAACAACTTTATTATTTTGCGAATCCACCTCAGTGCATTTCGATTACATTTAATCCCTTGCAAGATGAATGCAACTCAAGTCTACGACATTTGCATACCGGATTGGAGGTGATTTGAAGTCCTGTTGCTATCAAAAAATAAAATGACTTTCCATTTTGTTTTAAATTCCAACTGGTGCTTTGCTACATGCCTTTTTATGATGTTTCCCTGACAAGCACCCTTCTGTGCGATCAACGAAAAGCAAAGCATTAAGATAGAGACTGATAGCAAACAGAAATAACATCTGAAATAATAATAATATTCCTTGCATTTGATATAGCGCCTTATCACCTCATTGAGACGTCTCAAAGTGCTTCACAAAAATAACAAGTAATTGGACTAAGTTACGTACTTATCAATTACCGTGGCTTTTTATTTTTCACGAGAATACAGCAGTGTTTTGCACTTCTTGTGTTGATTTTGGCTGGTAGCCTTTCACATATTTTTTTAAAAAATACGTTGTATGTGCAGGTTTAAATGTAATTAACGTTCAAGTCTTCAAAGTACAAAAATAATAACAATCCTTGCATTGTCACAAGTTCTTTCAGATCAAGAGGACATTTCAAAGTGTTTTGTAGATTTCACTACAAGGTATTTTGCAGGTGAACAGAGCAGCTGATTTACGCACAGCAATGTCCCACGCAAAGTCATTTGATACAGCACCTTATCAGGTCCTCGAGACGACTCAAAGAGCGTAATACCATGTACTGTAAAGTGAATTCACTGTATATTTTGTGAGCAAAAACAGCAGCCACTTGCGCACAGCAGTGTCCCACAAATTGTCATGGATTGAGTGACCTGGTGAATGATCAATTTTATTCGGGGCACACTGGGAGAAACCCCCTTCTCTTTTCGAAGAGTGCAATGGGATCTTTAGCGTCCATCTGAACAGGGAGATGGACTTCAGCAAGTCACTACACTTGAAAGTAACTGCGCAGCAATCCGAGTGTAATAAAGCTGTGTATCAGATGCAAATATTATAGAATTGATTTAACGTGTTTTAGGTTTGGCCAACTAAACATTGGCAAGAATACAGCAGGTCCAATTATGGTTGATAACAAGGGTATAAAACTTGGCATGACTTGTGAGCCATATTTCATCTCAATAAAAAATCTTACCTAGATAACGTATAAGAGAACAGTTAAATAATGTCACAACCTTATATTGCCAACGCCATTATAAAATGCAAGAGTGGTTTATTACAAAGGATCTGGGGTGTTCGGGCAGTTGAGTGATTTTGGAAGGCTTTGGGTGTGTTCATCCAACTCCTAGAGGTCAATAAACTTAGTCCCATGTCTAAAACAAAAGCTCTTAATTCTTTGGGGGAATGAGGAATAAGCATGGTGAGAGGAGATAGGGTACTCTTAGAGGTGTATTCGTGCCCTCAACCCTATAAGCCAAAGCCCCAATGCTCGGGCAATTACAACTGAACACATAACCCCATTCATATCTCAGATTGGCTTACTGTGCAACATTGCCCGGTTCTTTTTATATAAACTTGTACATATAATAATAATCTTTGCATTTGATGTAGCACCTTAACAGGTCCTCGAAGTGTCTCAAAAGAGCATAACAGGATATATTGTGAAGTGAATTGACTGTATATTTTGTGGGTGAAATGCGGCAACCAATTGCACACAGCAGTATCTCACAAACAGTCAAGGATTGAATAACCTGATTATTTTCTGAAGGCCAATTATTCCCGGTAAGCGATCCGCCAATCAACTAAACAATCGGGTTCCTACTTACTGCTTGGTAAACAGGTGAGGGAACTTTCCTCATGTTTCGCCCTGCACCGGAATCGAACCTGGGTCCTCCCGCTTGCGAGTCGAGTGCTCTTAACCACTGAGTTACAGAACTCAATGAAATCTTCAGGCCGTTTGCAGATTGCTATACTTTCTAAACCGGCTTTGACGCATAAAAGTTTAATGAAAGCCTCAAAGTCCTGATTGCTAATGTCACTCTTGCCGTGCTATGTCAGGCTGAGGTCCAAGGTGAGATGCTGGGCTGCTGCCCCTTCAAGGACAAAGAGCAGCATTGCCAATCATAGCAAAATGGACATGTCTGACACTGGTTTCTTCATCTCCCCGTGAAAACGTGCCTCCTGCTGGACAAACTGCAGCCGCTTCAGAATGTGCAAAATCTTCTCTCGAATTGCTATTTTACCCATTTGAAAAGCCAAAGAACGCCAATAATAATAATAATAATACTTGCATTTGCCTTATCATGTCGCTGAGACGTCTCTCAAAGAACTTCACAGGATATTCTGTTAATTGAATTGACTGTGTACTTTTGTGGGCGAAATGTCGATAACAATAACATTTAAAATAACAATAGAAAGAAACAGCATTGAGAGAAATGCAATTGCGCTATGTACTGTTTGATTAGAATATCTCAACATTTGTAACTTATGAAAGAAAGCCATCTGACTGATTGACTACTTTTTGCCACAGTAACAACAACAAGCTTACATTTGTATAGCCCCTTTCACATCGGGAGGACGTCCCAAGGCGCTGGACAGTGTACAGCGTTTCAGACCTGAGCTGGGTCAGGGGGTGGGAAGGGAGGGGAGGGGAAGGGCGATGGCCTGGTCGAAGAGGAGGGTTTTGAGGCGGGACTTGAAGGAGGCTAACGAGGGGGCGAGGCTGGGGGATGGAATCCAGAGGTTGGGGGCGGAGTGGCTGAAGGCTCTCCCGCCAATGATGGGTCGGATGGGTCCAGGGACGTGGAGCAGCCAGAGCCGGCTGAGCAGAGTGATCGGGCGGGTTG